GATTTACGAATTATGTATCTCAGAAGCCGGCAATGATGTAAATAATATGCAGATAAATATAATAACAAACTTTCTTTTTATACATACTTAACACACTGTCTGTTTACCCAAATTAAACCTAAAAAGTTTATTTTCCATCTGAAAATCACATACTTACCCAAATCTATTTATACAAATCCTGAAATATTCCGGAATTTTGAAAAATGGTATCGATAATGGCACCGAGCTCGATGAAGGTTCAGCTGAATTCGATTTGGAAATGGCCTCTATAAATAGGGCAGTTGTTGGGTTTCGAAATTATATAGTGAAGCGATTCAAGAAAACCTTTCCACTTGTGAATTTACGAGCTGATGACTGGGGCACTTAAAATCAGTGTTGAAATGTCGAATAAGTGATTAATTCAAATTAGAAGATTGGTTAATGTAAAAACTCCACAAACTATAATCTCACAATCTATTTCAACATGATACTCTTCTGAGATATGGTTAGCGTATTCATTGAATTTGTTTCCTTTTTCATAAAACTCATCGGATGTTCGTGAATGCAGCGGTTAATCATTTTACCTGTCTGACCAATATACCGGGAGACAGCACTGACTCATGTCATACCCCCCCTTATCTCCTCTGTTTTTCTAGCTATCTTGCTGAAACTTGAAAGATCGAATATGCTCACTAGAGGGCACTTTCTCACATGTTAGGAAATTTTTGTCATCTTCTGGTTTTTATGGAGATGACATCAACTCTCGATTTTCAAATGGAACTCCTTGTATTTCATTCCATAATCGGTTAGAGATTATTATAACGAATTCAACAATACCGGATTTGATTGGGTTATTCCAAATGATCACGATGCTATTCGCGTTAGAAGTTTCCATAAGCTCAATGAGTGTGACAGAAAAAGATGTTTGGATATTGTGCCGTCACACCCATTGAGCTTATAGAAACTTCGAACGTGAATATCTTGAATAATGTTTTTCTCTCCTCGTTTCTATAATATAAAAATATAAGTATTATTCCAATATACAGGGTGATCAGTTAAGGGTAGCGAGTGGCCATATCTCATAAGATATTGGTCGTATAGATTTGAAAAAAAAAATCATGATAAAAGTCACCGAGAGAAATGGCTGGAAATTATTTTCAAGTTTGTCAAACGTTCGCTAGAGGGCGTAACAACCAACACCAAGTAGAAAAATGGGATTTTTATAGAATTTCGTCTCATGAAAGTATATCGATGATATCATTATCAAAATATCAAATGTTAACTTATCTTTGAGAAAAACAGTAAAATGTATATTTTATAGAAGCAATTCTCGGTGTCATGTGAATGAACTGAGTTTTTTAAAATTATTCCTGCACATCCTTACATCAAACACACATCATGGTTCCAAAGGTTCCTCATTTTGATATGGTATGTTCGGAATTTGAAGGTTTTGGAATGGGATAAAGGAAAGTGACAATCAATCATATGAGATTTATTTTTCTATCAAGGAAAGGTGAATAATTACAATATCCATCTCCATCAATTTATCTACACTAATTTTTGGCATATTCAGCTGTATGATTTGAAATAAAAAAAATGGTAACAATTTATTTAACTATACAATAAGTAGATACACAAAAAAAACAATAATTTACCTATCTAACAAACATTATCCTATTTTTATGTACATATATAATCCATCAGACACTCAGTGTGTGAGTTATTCTCGATTACTATCCTTACAAATTCATTGGCATACCATATTGCACAAAATGTAATGAAAATTTTTAAAAAATGTTCAGCTCAGTAGGCATATGAATTAGGAATTTCACACAAGCCTCATCAGAAAGTCATGAAAAGGTATTCGACTGGACTGTAAACAATAGTTATATTTTTTACAAGCGCGCAAAATATTTTTTTTTGTCAACCTCTATAAAAAATCACATTTTACGTTCTAATTTCCGAACGAAAAGCCGACTATTTCCGAAGGCAACTACTTTTCGTCCGCTGCTCGGTTGCCAGTTCTACTGAATTTCTAGTAGATCTCCTGATTTACATATTGATCGAGTGATCTACTGAAACATTTTATGGCGTTTTATACGTACCTATATGTACGTACCTATATGTAACCAGTGGCGGCTCCTCAGAGGAGGCAACGGAGGCTGAGTCTCCTCGGAGATTTTCCTTAAATTGATATTATCTATACTTTTTCATTAAAAGGACACCAAAATACATGGATTTTGATTTTTTTTCCTGTTTTTAGGTGAATATTTTTGAATTGGCAACAGTGCTTGCCCACGCATCACACTTTGAAGTCTGCAAATCACGCATAAAATATTCAACTTGGCAACATCTATAGGAGGCTAGACTCCTTCACAATTCGCAACCCATGCGCGCAATGCAAATGCCAGAATACGCCCGAATAGCACGTGTTTATGGTGTCGCGTCGCGAATTGCGGACAAACCAGCGCGGGTGCATTGTTTATGTTTATGTTAGGTTAATGGTTAGGGGCTCTATAAATTTCTGAAAAATGAGTGTTTTAAACGATTGCGATTTAGTGGAATACTTTTTGGTGAACCCATTCAGTGCTGTGTCTCATGAAGATAAATTGATTGTGAAAAACAAACGTCCGACACCGGAATTAAAAAATCTGATTATAACAGGTAACAAACAAAATCGTTCGTTCAATTCTGATAATTATAAAAAATATATCTGGTTGACGGGATCTGAGGTGAGGAATAAGCTATTTTTTTGGTACTGCGTATTATTTTCAACCGATAAGTCATCATGTTGGGGGTGATTTAGGATATAATGATTTGAAAAATTTGCCTCGCGGATTGGATAGACACTGCAAATCACAGGAACACATCCCTTCAAGTATTAAGTTCAGGGTAACTGGTAAACAGAATTTAATTAGAGCTATTGATTTGGGTGAGTAGGGAGTTGTTCTTCACAATAAATCTCATATCATTCAGCCTCCTCTGTCATGAAAGTCACGAGCCGCCACTGCATGTAACTGTATTTCGTGATATTTGTGAGTATTTTAAAATTGAGAATTAGGAATATGATTATTTTTTCATGAGAAAGTTTGTTCTGTTTCTTTCTATCCTGTTGGAAAGAGGTAACTTTCCTGTTTACTAAAAGTACATAGTGTTTTGACGGTTTATTTCATTATCCTTTCTTGAAATTCGTATATAGCATAAAATAGATCTGAATTTTCGACAAGGTATAATCTGATGAAATGAAAATCTAACTGGCAACCCTGGTCCGCGCGGAGAGTAAGTTGACAGCAGCAGTAATTTGCTTTCGACAAATAAATTATTCACGAAATCCGATAGATTTCTCATGTAAATAGGACCGTGATGTAAATATAAGTGTTTGAGGTCAACAGAAAAATTTAATATGCACCTCGTCGAAAAACTGTATATTTTCTCGCCTGATTGCTAGCCTCGGTTAAGGCCTCGGCTATCAATTTACAGACTCGATTATTATAGACAGTTTTCCGTCCTTGGTACATAAATCAACTATTCTCGTCCGAATCAGGTACATAACTTTTTCAGGCGAGCAGGCGACCTTGAATAGATTCATAACCATATATACAAAATATAATTACATTTTCATTGCATTGACATGGTGGCAACTTTGGATGTTTGATGTTTTCACATCATTGCGACATGACGTTCGAGAGATGTATATACAGGGTGTTACGACAGCTTCCCAGGTGTTAGCCCATGTGATTCGATAACGACTAAGACAAGGACATGAGGTCTTCAAGTGCGATAGTTGGTTGCATATTTTTCATCCATTGTTTTTTATATACACTTCTCCAAGAAATTAACGCAGCACCAAAAAGTAGCCAAAAGTTTAGGAACAATTTTTGTCAAAAGTACTTGTCCGATTTTTACGTTTTCTTGTTTTGAATAACAGGTTATTTCCTTCTGAACATTGGTGTACAAAATGTATTCGCATAAAAATCTTTTTTTTATACATACCGGGTGTATCAATTATACATCTTGTTTTTTTCATGAAATTTGTAATAGATGCCCTGTACAATTAGGCCATATCTTTTCACACCATTTCTTCCTGTTATTCACTTCATTATCTTTACCATTACTCGAGAAACACCATATTTTATAACGCAACATGATTTTATGGAAAATCGATATCCAAATTGAATAAGTAACGGAAAAACGAGACAGAATGCGAAGTCACGAGCTAAACGAGTATTTCCTTCGCTGGCACGAAAATCCTCTTGACAAAGAAGGCCTATACCCAAAATAAGAAACTAAATGTTATGTTGGTCCACCAGGTCTTCCCTAATTTGAATCATCAGGCACTGCGTGCGTTTTCCAAAGTAGTCAAGTTACGGTCCTCTTCTAATCTTTTCCCAAGAATGTCCCGGAGACTCTCAATAGGGTTTAAATACGGGCTCCGAGCTGGCCATGCCAACTCTGTTGACGTGTGGCTTGCATCATTGAAAATCCTTACACTATACATGGTTCTAAAATCATCGATCACAAGTTGAATGCAACCAGTCAAAGCATAAATGTCTTCCCAGTTTTCAGACCATCATGGCCTACTACTTATTATGCCAATTGAATTCAATGAAATTATGTTATGCTATAAATTGTTTTTCTGAAGAAATACGAAAGATAATGGAGTGAATCCAAAAAAGGGATGTTGAAAAAAGATAGGACTAAAGTGTACACTCGATAACGTAACTTTTACAATCCACTGGGAGTTCAGAACAGAAAACGTCCAAATCAGACAAGTAGTTTCGACCAAAATTTTTCCTTTACTTTTGGATTCTTTTTGGTGGTGCTTTGATTTCTTGGAGAAAGAAAAACGTATGGATGCTGCATAAGTTACAATATTCACTTTTCCGCACTTGTGATAGTAAAATTTACCAGTAAACGGCAGTATAGAAGAAAAATATGCCTACTATAAAGAAACATAATACAATTCCTCGTTTTTCCAGTCGATGAAAATGACGCTACTTAGTGACTAATTGATATCAAATTCACATGCTATATTTGTTGGTCGAGTCGTAAAAAGAATGGGGGGTATTGGCTGCCGGGGGGGAAGGCATGGAGGTGGGAATCGTGGGGGGAGGGGGACTCAAATACGGTTTTCGGTCACACTGGATCGGTTGGACTGTGTTACTAGTTGGCCTCATCACTGAAACAAAAAAAATAAGAATAATGATATAGTTGGGAAAAACAGATATTCAAAGAAATGCATATTATCCTCCTGTCTTGTGGAATGCATATACAGTGTGTATCACTTACCATGCTCACCATGGGTATCTTTTCAATGGTGAGAGATACGAGGTCGGTTAAATGACACCAAATGTGGAATTTGTCAAGGCCAACTATAATGTGAAAAAATATTTTGATAAAATCTATTCGTTTTTGTTTTATACGCAGAAAACAGATTTTGATCATTTTCATGTCTCCTCCATAACTTCTTTATATATGATAATATTCAAATAGGAATTTCACATTCTCATGGCAGTTTTTCGAAGTGATTTCGAAAAACATATGAAATTTATACCAACTCTTCTAGAATTTGAGATATCAGCACCAGCTTTAGTTTTTCAGATGTAGGTCATAGCTCACTTTGACTTAGTTACAAATAACTTTTTTGTCTCTCACAGATGATTTGTCACAGTAATAGTTTTGTGTTGATAACAACGGAGTTATCGTCATTTATACAAAAACAAAAAATTATTTGGAAGCCGCCATATTGAATTTATGAATTTCAACAAAAAAATCATGATCTCCGACCTCAAAAACCCCCACTTACCAATTTTGAATGGAATCGGACCAAATCTTGTCCGCCATCTTGAAGCAGCCATTTTTTTTATTTCAACAAAAATTCCATAACTAAGATTAACTTGAAATTTGGCAGGTGTTCATAATTTCGGTGACAATACATTATGGAATTTTTGTTGAAATTAAAAAAAATGGCTGCTTCAAGATGGCGGACAAGATTTGGTCCGATTCCATTCAAAATTGGTGGTTTTTGAGGTCGGAGATCATGATTTTTTTGTTAAAATTCATAAATTCAATATGGCGGCTTCCAAATAATTTTTTGTTTTTGTATAAATGACGATAACTCCGTTGTTATCAACACAAAACTATTACTGCGACATATCATCTGTGAGAGAAAAAAAAGTTATTTGTAACTAAGTCATAGTGAGCTATGACCTACATTTGAAAAACTAAAGTGGGTGCTAATATCTCAAATTCTAGAAGAGTTGGTATAAATTTCATATTTTTTTCGAAATCACTTTGAAAAACTGCCATGATTTGCCATATTTGAATATTATCATAAATAAAGAAGTTATGGAGGAGACGTGAAAATGATCAAAAGCTGTTTTTTGCGTATGAAACAGAAACGAATAGATTTTATCAAAATATTTTTTCACATTATAGTTGGCCTTGACAAACTCCACATTTGGTGTCATTTAACCGACCTCGTATCTCTCACCGTTAAAAAGATACCGATGGTGAGCATGGTAAGTGGGACACACTGTATATCAAACTAGAGTCACTGATGGATGGTATCAGTTAGATAGGAGTTCAGACAGCCGAACTTTTGTCCTTTTCTATTTTCTACAGGGTGACATCGAAAAAAGTACATTGCATAGTGCCACACAATAGAGGATACTGAAATAAGGAAAAAAGTTCCTATGAACATGGGTCCGCAAGGCCTTCGGTTAAAAGATACGGGGTGTTGAATATTAATGGAAAAATGTATTGAAGTACAAGGGCAACAATTTGAACATAGACTCAGCAAATTTATTTAAAATAAGATGTCGTTGAATACTAATTGAACAAAGTCTCAGACAGCCACTATAATAAGCGCTAATCAGAATAGAAATTTTATAATGCAAATTTATGTTTCTTGTTTAGAAAGTATCTGATGAGTAAAGACCAGGCGCTAGGGGAGGGGGGCGGGGCGAGCGCCCCCCCTTGCCTCCCCCTCCGGACGCCCCTGAACTTGCTATCAATATGATGGAATTTGACTACAAATTAAAAAAAAATATCTGCGGCGCATATTTTTGCCCTTACACAGTTTTTTTAGGGTTCTTGCCCCTTCCTTGGTGACCCCTGGAATGACGGCCCTGCAGGGCTGTCTGTTGCGACAGAGGCCGCACAAAATATGCTTGTTGGCCACCCACCATGTGCTAGTATTGTGATTCTGTCTGGCTGTCATCTGCCATGTAAAACGACCGTCTCCCATTACCGAGTAAACAAATTAGAGGGATGAGTTAGCGCCAGCCCAACAAAACAACAAAACATCCTATTTAACGGCAAATCGACTATGAAGATGAAGTTGCTGACTGCTGTTGAGTTTGTTGTTAGTTCACCGCTTCACCTGTCAACCTGCGTGAATCTACTGGGTGAGTCGGCACAAACGCACCAAACTCCAGGTGTGTATTGTACAGGAATGAATAATTTTATTTCTGACAGTGACATTATAAGCTTATATCGTCATAGTTACGATATCTATAATGAGGGTCATAACTCCCTTGGGATGTTATAGATGCTATAATTCCCTCTAGCTAAAATTAAATAAGAAATGCATAGCAACAACCACGCAATAACGTAGCAATAAGGAATCTCCTATTCGCGGTAGTCAAGATCATCATCTGACGTTCTGATGACATTGAAACTATACGGAAAAACATGTCTAACTTCCAATCGGGAAGGTATCTAATGAATGAAATCAGTCAGAAATAAAATTATCTATGTATCACGGGAATTACTGAGCCTCAATAACCTCAGGCAATTGCTGTCCCTCGAGCCAGAGGCCCTCGGGACGCAAACTTTGCCATCGGTAATTAAGGCCCTCATAATTCCCTTAATACATAAATAACTATTATGCACTAGCGGGCCGTAAAGTGCACTTTACCGCCCGGTTTTGCGGGCGTTAGGTCGCACTTTACCGCCCGCTGTTCTCAGTCACCTTATATCCACATATCAATTTATGAAAAACCTATGATCATATTCCTAGATTCTGATATATCCAGCGGTATATCTTAAACTTCTTCTTCATCCGATTCCATAGTCTCACTATCATTATTATTATCACTAATTTTACTTTTCAATCAAAGAATGACAATTCAGCTTGTTTATTGGATGTATTGATATAGACAACAACCATCAGCTTGCTTGACAACGTCAAAATAATTAGGTAGGTATATATACTGGGTATGCATTTTGTAACATTCTGAAGAATGAATATCTTCTGGAGATCAAAGAGTTTTACTATTACGATAATTGCAATATTCGTACGATAATTTTCATAAGTGAATCATTCATGAACATTACGCTTCTCTTGAATCTTGATTACTGAATTTATACGTAACAAATCAAATTCGGGGGAATATTAGTTTATCGAAATCTACAGTCATTACTTTTGAGTCAGAAAATAAACCACTAGTGCATAATATTTTGTATGTATCTCGTGCGTGAAATGCGTTTATGGCCTTCAGCGTGTAATGGCCCTCGGCTAGCGCCATCGGGCCATTATTCACGCCACATGCCCTAAAAGCCTACTTTACGCCCTCGATACATAAATAACTATTATGCACTAGCGAGCGGTGAAGTACACTTTATCGCCCAGATTCGGGCCCATTATCGCCAAACAGATAATTCAATTATTTTCAAAATATTCTTCAACCGAGTATGGACACATGTCAATGAGATAATTTTATGTTTTCTCTCTAATATACATATATATCTTTAAAACATTGTGGAAGACTATTGTATAGTTTGATTCCCATTACTCTAGGTGATTTCTTACAGATTTCTATTCGCTGGTAAGGTATAGAGAAGTCTGATTTATATCTTGTGTCATGAGCATGAATATCACTATTTCGTAAATGATCGTTTTTATTTCTATGAACTGATGTGATCAAATCCAATATATAAATGCCATAAATAGTTAAAATTCTCAAGTTGATAAAAACAGGTCGACAGGAATCTACAAATGAGATGTTTGAAATACATCTTGAAATTCTTCTCTGTGACATAAAAACACTTTTAGCATGAGGAGAGCTCCCCCAAATACCAATTCCATAACTGATCCTAGACTGTATTTCACTAAAGTACTAAAGTGAACGAATGTGATTTATATTGAGTGTTTTTCTTAAATTTCTAATTTGAAAACATTTGGAGTTCAACATCTTGGATAGATTTAAACAGTGTGCTTCAAAGGACAAATCTGAATCAAATAATACACCCAGAAATTTCACATTTTCTTTCCTTGTTACGTTTGAGTCGTTAACCAATATATCAAAGTTAGGGATACAAGTTTTTTGGCGAGGATGAAATGATATAAAATTCGTTGTATTAAACAACAAGGATTGATCACTAGACCAGGCAGAAAATTTCAACAAAGCATTCATAATTTTAGCCATTAAAATGTTTGAGTCTTTTTCACTAAACAAAAATGTTGAATCATCTGCATAAAGAGTGGTAAAAGACTCTGGTACAGCAGAAGGTAACTCATTTATGAAAAGGATAAATAACAGGGGCCCAAGAGTGGATGCCTGTGGAACTCCTTGTGCATTTACCATAAGATCAGACATATATTTATTTCCTTTATCGATAATCTTGACAGATTGTAACCTGTTATCTAGGTACAAAGATAACCACTCGTAAGCTTTGCCCCTCATACCGTATTTATAAAGCTTGTCTTTCAAAATATTGTGTTGAACACAGTCAAAATCCCGACTGAGATCACAAAATAACCCAATCGGGCTTTCGCCCTGCTTGACCAAATCCAGAAGTTCAGTATAGAAATATATATAATTCAATGTTCGTCGTGGCACATAGCCAGGAAAGAAGTTGTTTTCTGATGAATAAACCGAGAAAGAATCGATATTGTGAAAATTGTGAAACGAAACCATAATGGAATTTTCTTTTTGGGATTGCTGACGGAATTGCCTAAACTTACAAGTCGTTTCACTCATTTGATATGTGAATTGTACAAACAAAAGTTCAACTCGGAATCAAGTTGAATGATCCCTGCTACAATTGTTTCAATGTTTTGTGTAAAATATTCACAATCAGAATATGCTAACAGACAGCAAAGCATCACATTTATATCATTCTTATCACTTATCACTGCTTCTTTATTACAGCCAGCTGACACAACCACATCAGATGATAGGACTTGCTCTGACCACATTCTGAGATATATCACGTTTTATGAACTCAATAAAAATATCTGGAGATAGGTAGGTATTTAATTTCTCTATATACCTAACATACGAGGATTGATTTCCATTCAAAAAGTACATCTAAAATATGTCTCAGTATACCTACCTACGCCATATTTCAATACGGAAATTGATATACAGAGTGTTTTAAATCGTATTCGGGAAAATTTTGACGATAGACTATTGAAAATTAAATTTAACTTGAATGTTGTGGAACTTTGTTTCGGATTATTTCTCATTCACAGTTCAAAAACTCCTTAGCTGATATTCATTAAACTTATAGGAGGTTCATTTGTGATATGGAAATCTACCTACCTATATCTTTTGACATGACTGGATTCGTAATTACTTGTTGTTCGACGTAACAATCCACTTTTCTTGTTTCATGGGTTTACATTATAATATTTTATATTATAATCAGAAAATTATCGACGGGAAATTCGAAGTTTTTAACAAGAATTACATCTACGTTTCAGGCATCTGTGTACTTCTTTTCAAGTTATAAAATATCTGTCTTTGTACAAATCAACCAAGCCGTTTCAAAATGACAAGGCGTTTGAAATTTGCTTCAAATATTAATATTAATGAATAAAAAACCTAAATCACTTTGAATTGCAACATAATTTCATGTAGAAATTGTAACGAGTGCTCAAACATGCTCTAAATGTTCATCGTTCACTTATTGACACGAAAGAATCGGTTTTGGAATTCAATCCGAAAGTGATTTACTACGTTTGCGAGCTAAATTTCACACGCTTGTCATTTTGAAACGGCTTGACCGATTTGCACAAGCACAAAGGAGTTGGATAGATAATCGAAAGGCCTTCAAAACAAGGTACCACGTGACCCCTCTTCATATTTGAAAAAAAAAGTTGATGGTGCCCACTTGACAGTAGGTCACGTGACCACAACCATTTTCATGCCAAATAGTAGTGAAATAAGAGGAATCTTTTCGCCTGAATTTTACCCGACCTCGCTAGCTTGTTCCGTTCAAAGGTTGAAAAGGGGGGGAGGACTTTTTACGTCCTCTCTGTATATCCGGGAAATAAGTATTCATCACGGAAAAAAAGGGTTTGTTGCATCAACAAATTATTTATGCTCGAGTTATTTTTGTTGGACTGAGCAATTTTTTGTTGAATCAACCAGATACATGATTATTCCATGGAAGCAGCTTGTTCAAATCAAGAATGTAGTCTAATTGAATCAACAGTATAAATATCAATTATATCAACAAAATATATGGTTTCCTCAAAAACAAATTATTACGATCCAAAATAATGTCGATGTTGGTTCAACTATGAACATTTCGTTGATTTGATCAAACAATGATCATTTTGATGAGAATATATCTTTGAGACAACTTACAATTTATCTCATTCCGATTTACCAATGAACTCGTTTCGAACGGATCATATGCTTGAATAGAGCAACGAAATATGTTATATCAATCAAATATTTTGTTCATTCTACATCAACTCAAATTTTCGCCTCTAGATGGCGATCATCACGTGAGGCCGGATTCTTCGTCTTTGAAATATCAGCTGGAAAAATCGTACTGAGGATGATTCAAGATCCATCCGAAATAGTTTTCCATCAGCTAAAGAGAAGTAAAGACTAAAGATCCATAATAGGAGTTGACCAAATATTCCATTGAATCAACCAAATATTTCTCTGAATCAACCAAATATTTCGTTGTATCAACTAAATATTTCATTGAATCAATATCTTGTTATTTTGAATCAAACAAAATGATTGTTTGAGCCAATTTAATATCTCTTCATGAACAATTCTTGGATCTTGATCGAAGAAGATCCAGAGTTCATGCAAGACATATTAACTTGATTCAAACTTCAAATTCGCTCTGAAACAAGATATAGATTTACTCATTTCAAGATTATATTTTGTCGTGTATATATGACACTTCTATTTACTCCATTCAATTAAATTTTGCTTGAATCAACAATTCGATTTTTTCCGTGGCAATTATGAAAAGTGACAATTTATAACCTGGCAACAGAGACGAAATGTCAAACTGTTTTTCCGTCACAGAAAAAAACTAAATTTCCCACTAACTGTATTTTGAATCAAAACAAAATGATTGTTTGAGCCAATTCAATATCTCTTCATGAACAATTCATGGATGTGCTTGATCGAAGAAGATCCAGAGTTCATGCAAGACATATTTACTTGATTCAAACTTCAAATTCGCCCTGAAACAAGATATAGATTTACTCATTTCAAGATAATATTTTGTCGTGTGAACATGATACTTTTATTTACTCCATTCAATTAAATTTTGCTTGATTCAACAATTCGATTTTTTCCGTGGCAATTATGAAAAGTGACAATTCATAACCTGTCAACAGAGACGAAATGTCAAACTGTTTTTCCGTCACAGAAAAAAACTAAATGTCCCACTTACTGTTATCCGTCGACGAGGACGTAATCCCACCGGAATACGGATAATACCCAGCATCCACCCCCGGATGCGACGGCGTCTCCTGATGACTCTCCGCCATCGGACTTGGCGGCGCCTTCAGATAACTGCCCGCCATCGCCCCGTCCCCATAGCCCGCCAACAGCCCGCCACCGCCGCCCCAGTCCCTCTCCGCCTGTCCCTGGTACACGGGTGTCGGGTACGACTCGTACCCGTAACTCTGCCCGCCTCCGTACGAACAGGTGGAGTACTCCGTCTGGTGAGGCGGCATCAGCGCTTGGTGCTCGTATGCGGCCTGCTGACCCACCATACCTGATTCATATTTCATAGATAGTTGTTGATATTCTCTATAGTCAAATGTACGAAGGCGCTGAAGAGACGACCTTTTCAAAATATGCATACCCCTTGGGAGTACTTATATACAGTCTGTCCAAGATAAGGTTGAACAGCATGGGGATCTCGAAAACGGTAGGAGATACGAAGTCGGTTGAATGGAGAAAAAGTTGCGTATTCGGAGGCTTATTTCAAGAGCCTTCGAAAATTTTCAAAATTATTTTTAGTTTTTTAGTTATATCGAATAAAGTGAATTTTTGGAATATCTATTTTTTTTTTCTCCGTTATTATAAGAGATACTGAAAAACTGAAAATACTTTTTCATAGCAACTGTTGATGAAGTTTAACGTGGTTATGGTTATTTTGTTATGCGACGTTTCGTATCCGTAGAACCATCATCAACTTTTGTTTTTTAAATATGGTCCTGATAATTTTTTCACAGATTCTGAAAGGTTTTTTTATTCTAAATTCAACCATGTATTATACAAGGTGATTCGAATGTGTTTCGACCTATTTCTATTCATCATCAATGTTTTTTCGAACTTCCAAAGGAAAAGTGCCATCAGTTCCATTTATTTCTGATCATTTAGTGTCAAACATCGAAGGATTAGTTATTCAATACTGAAAAATGAATGAGGAATATTTCACTACATCATTCAATGCAGCGCTTAAAATTGTTGATAAATTCTTACACGGATTACTTCAACAACTCAACTTTGACAATACCTTCAGAAACATTCATAACAAATGTTCAAAATGATAACCATTATTTTCTGAACAAAGATATCCTCTTCTCACAGTTGCTTCTAAGACATTACTAAGCATTTCTGGGGTAATTCTATTGAATGCCTCGATGACACTGTCCCTTAGTTCTTCTTCATCATCAAATCTATTTGCGTGTACAAAGTTTTTGATATATCCCCTGAAAAAAAATCCAGCTGTGTCAAAACAGGTGACCGCGCCGGCTGAGGAACTGCAGAATGGGTACCAATCGAGGTATCAATCCATTTTTCTGGATAAAAACGCACGAACTTCTCTGGAATTATGTACCGGAGCGCCATCTTGTTGAAACCAACAGTTCTGAACTTCCGCAAACAGATTTCTATAACGTTAGGAAGTCTGTGTTTCATGGTGAATAAAAGGACCAATAATTCGTGTACCAAATATTGCAACCCACATATTAAAGCCGAAACGGTGTTGGTGTCTCGCTGTAATGTATAAGTGTTCATTTTCTCGTGAACAATAATGTGTATTTTTTCTATCGAAGATGCCATGATTAGTGACCATGCTTTCATCAGTCCAGATGATTGTTCGCGGGAAATCTGCAAAATTTTGACATTTCCTGGTAAACCACTCACAGAATGTCCTGGGCCTTTCGTCATTCGGTTGACATATAATTTTTGTTTCCGCAAATGAAATGGGTTGTTGATTGAAAACAGTTGATGAGGTATTAATGTTAAATGAGTGGAACTGATGGCATTTTTCCATTGGAGTTTCGAAAAAACATTGATGATGGTTAAAAATAGGTCGAAACACACATAAACCACCTTGTATAATACATGGTTGAATTCAAAATGAAAAAACCTTTCAGAATCTGTGGAAAAATTATCAGGACCGTATTTAAAAAACAAAAGTTGATGATGGTTCTACGAATACGAAACGTCGCATAGAAAAATTGGTACCACCACGTTAAACGCCATCAAAAGTTGCTATGCAAAAGTATTTTCAGTTTTTCTGTATCTCTAATAATAACGGAGAAAAAAAATAAAATAGATATTCCAAAAATTCACTTTTTTCGATATAACTAAAAAACTAAAAATAATTTTAAAAATTTTCGAAGGCTCTTGATATGAGCCTCCGAATGCGCAACTTTTTCCCCATTTAACCGACTTCGTATCTCCTACCGTTTTCGAGATCCCCATGCTGTTCAATCTTATCTTGGACAGACTGTATACTCCATTTAATTACTTGCTTGGCTTTGAGAGTGTTGTTTTAATATTTTGGAACATTATAGAGAAATAAAAGGAGTATTTAAAGTAGAAGAAGCATGTTTATTGAATAAAATATCGGTAATTACAATTTGGATATCAGGGTATCCATCTTCAATGGGCAAAGGAAACCTTTCTTGCTCTACACTGAGAGAAATATCTATTAGCTGATGTTATACGAAACTATGTATAACCAGCATAGTTCCCTTTTCACTGTAATCAAGTCCATCATTTCAAAAAAATCATATAACTATGAAACAACATTTAGATGAGAATAAAATGACGCGATAGGGGTCAAATGATCAGCATTTCAATATTGAATATTATAAAAATGAAATAATACTCATATATCTATATAATTTGCTTTCAATTTGATAGTCAAATGATTGGCATTTCAATTTTTTGAAGTGGGTTGTAGATCGTCGAGAAATTTTGAAAACATATCTACTTAGCATAAATACTGATCCCCAAGTAACGTTTTTCAGTGAAACTACAGGGCATTGAAGTGCATCACAAGGGCGAGATACACAATATCGCAATTTGCCTACGAGAAAAATGTTTTCAATTTGGAGTATTTAGTATTTGTTCTTGTCACTACATTATATTTCTTCTGATGAATTGTTGACTAGTTGTGGATTTTGAAGCAGCAAATAAAATTATACGAATCAAATAAATACATATACACCGTGTCCAAGATAAGGATACGAAGACATCCTTATCTTGGACATACTGTATACGCGATACAATCTATCACCGATATAACTGCACAAATCTATAAGCTTTGCCACTATATAGTAAATAGTGCGGTAGTTTGAAAACAAAAATTTTCATCCAAATTGGAAGAATTCCTGATACATTTCCAATTCATCGTAAATACACTATTACGCCCTGATGCAGTTCAACTTCCTGTAGTTCCTCAACAAATCTTATACTTGGGAGGAATGTGAACGAATATCTCCCTAAAATTTCTAGAAAAACTTACAACGACTTTTTCGAAAAAAAATTATCACCCTGTAAGAAGGGTTCAGGAGCTGCTGTGGGCTAATTTGTCCTTACATATCAGGTTATCCGTATATGATCCGTATGAGCATCATGTAATACCTTGGATTTGAAATGGATGTTTTTCATTGAAAATAATCATGTTCGGATTCGGATAGATGAAAATTGTATATAATTGCAAGATTTTTCTCGTATTTAAGCTAATTGCAAGATTAATCTTGCATTTAAGCTGATTGCAAGATTCATCTTGTAATTAGGGCTTAGTTGGCAGATGTATCTTACATTGAAGGTAATTGCAAGATTTTTCTGGCAATTAAGGCTAAATTGATAAATTTACCTTGCATTCAAGTTCATTGACAGATTTATCTGACATTTAAGCTAATTGCAAGATTTATCTTGCTATTACTATTAGGGCTTAATTAACAGATTTATCTTGCGTTAAAGATAATGGACAGATATATCTGAAATTTAAGCTAATTGCAAGATTCATCCAACCAACATGGTTGGTAAATGGTAAAATCACATGGAGGCAAATTTTATATTCAGCAGCTACTAACAAGGACCGTTAAAATTAATAAATTACCCTGTATCTTGGTTATAAAGAATGATAGATCCATGAAATATAGATCATTCGGAAGCACCTCGGTGTCCTCTAACTATACCCTTACTGTGTGCGCATTTTCATTTCCCAATTAATCACCCTGTACATATATTCCATAATATTCACTCACATAAACACATTAACGATTTTCAGGTAATAATTGCGAGATAAATCTTGCAATTAGCTTGAATGTCAGATAAATCTGTCAATCAGCTTAAATGCAAGATGAATATGTCAATTAAGCCTCAATTGCAAGATAAATCTTCCAATTAGCTAAAATGTCAGATGAATCAGTCAATTAGCTCAAATGAAAGATACATCTGTCAATTAAGCCCTACTTGCAAGATAATTTTTATAATTATCTCTGGTGCAAGATAATTATGTTAATTGAGCCTTAATTGTAAGAAAAATTAGTCAGTTAAGCCTTAATCGCAAGATAAATCTTATTGCAATTAGCTAAAATGTCATATAAATCAGTCAATTAGATTAAATGTAAGATAAATCTGTCAATTAAGCCCTACTTGCAAGATAATTTTTATAATTAGCTCAAGTGCAAGATAAATCTGTCAATTGAGCCTTAATTGTAAGATGAATCTTGCAATTAGCTTGAATGTCAAAAAAAATTGGCAATTATATTAAAGCGACGAAAAAATATATTTTTTGCAATGTCCGTTCAGTGTCTTCGTGGTATACACCTTCGTTTTGACGTTCTGAAGCGAATACTAATCCAGGAAATGAAAACTACGAACAAATGCTTGGGATACAAGTTAGTTTCTAAACTTTCCTTATTTGCCGTTGTATGAAAATTCAATGTGGCGCCCATAAGAAAAACAAAGTTGTGTGTTGTAACTTTGGCATCAAGAACGTTATGGAAAATACAATGGTAGATTCAGATTCCTTGTAAAAAAGTTTCTTAAGAATGTCCCAGTCAGAAACGGCTAGGTCTTATGGTTTCCGCTTGAAAAAATAAAAACGAAAATTATATATTCTCGTTTTCTTCCAATAATTAAAGAACTAAAAATGACACATAAAATGTTCTTGTTGATAAATGTTCAGCATGAGAATACGCAACTTTGCCCTAATTTAACCCCATGGTGGAGCTGGAAAAACGGACACCCTGTATGAGGCTTGCCTACCCAACAAATGATGATAAAAAACAACAGATAATAATAATACCTGGCACTGCGTTGCCGAAGAACTGGTACTGCGGCTTCATCGCTTGGCACTTCCTTCTAAAACCCCTCGGCCTTCTCCTATAAGACCCTTCCTCGAACATAAACTCCGTGGCAGGATCAATGGTCCAGTAATGCCCCTTCCCTGGACGCCCTAGCCCTTTCGGTAGCTTGATGAAACACTCGTTCAGGGAGAGGTTGTGCCTCACCGAGTTCTTCCAGCCCTGGTAAGAACCCCTGAAGAAAGGAAAGCGCTGCTGCAAAAAGGTGTAGATTTCACTGAGAGTCAGGCGCTTGGTAGGTGAATGCTGGATCGCCATCACTATCAGCGCTATGTAAGAGTAAGGAGGCTTCTCTTGTCTTCGAATGCCTGATTTTTTGTCTGAGCTGGAGGGTTTTTGGTCGGGGTCTTGCACAACGTTAGTTTCCTGGATGGCATTTTGCTGGTGGTCAGTGGGTAGTATGACCGTTGGATGGTGTAGGTGTAATTGTTGCAGGTGTTGCTGGATGTTGAGCGCTTGAGGCCCTACTGGAGTTAACTGCGTTGAGGCACTGACTTCACCAAGTTGTTCCTTCATCATACTTTAAACATTTACACTAACTAAGCCCAAACAATTTACAATTCGTTATATTACAAACATTTGATGGTAGTAATAACACGCACGCACGATTTCGGTTTATATATACAATGTACGCGCGGTGTGTATGTATACAAAAGTTGTCGGGTGATACCGAATGTTCACTGAGGCATGGCCAGTGTGTTTGTGGTCGTGTCGTTGCGGAGGTATGGTTTTTTGGGATTTTCTGTGAGCGGGGAGGAGGTTCGTCAGTGTGGGATGTGCCAGAGGAGTTGAAACGGCCTATGTGGAGCGGCTGTAGTGCTTAGGATGATGCGGCGGATCTAGCATCGGGACTAGCGTATACAGGGTGTTCCATGAGTAGGTTTTAAAATATTTGAGTGACGTATTCCTGAGGCAATTTCAAGGAAAAAAAACCACTGCTTCGTTCCGGAGGTATATATAGGGTTGTTGACATTTTTTTTTTAATTTTCATTTCTTTGGCAAAATATAGAATTTTTGTACGAAATTTGGTACCAACCCGGGCTTTGTTCAGAGGTGGGAAATCATGATATTATACTAATTTTTATGTAGTGTCCAAAGGGGACTGCGTACGATGTCGCATTACATAGAGGAGAACGACTCTTTGAAGCTTAGTTGTTTCAAGGCCTCAAAGGTACCATTTATTTGTATTCTCGAACAAATGATTTCGATATTAATTATTTGAGAGAAAAAAAAAGTTTGTAACAATGTCTATATTTGTTTGAATCGAATATCATAATTGTTTGTATCACCATGAAGTACTCTTGAAGATCGATAAATACATAGTTTGTATCAAAGAAATCATCTATATATTTTGTTCAAAATAGATATATGTTTCCATGAAGTTCATATATTTTTAGGCAGTTATGAGTTTTAAGAATATTTTATTAGTGTATTTACAATTCGAACAAGTATAGTTTACATCATAACACAATGATATTTCATTTAGAAATTAGGTTTCAGTCGAGGTTTCACTCCAGAAAATTTGTGTAAACTGCAAACGAATCATGTCATATACCGGGTGTCCCAGTATAACCTGTTCCAATAGATTATCTCAGCCATTTCGAAAGATGAAAATTTGAAAATTACATGATTTACTACAATTCTAATGACTTGAAATTATTATCGAAGTCAAAATCAAGATTACAAAAATATCGTAGCCTACTGCAATTCGTTCAATTCGAAATTTCCCATGTCGTTTTCTCCATCAAATCAAATTTAAAATACGAAGTGTGATACATCGTTGAAACGGTAATTTTGGGTTGAAATAAAAAATGCAAAAAATATACAGGGTGCTATTTGAAATAAAAAAGTAAGAGTCACTTCCGGTCAAACCGGAAGTGACTTTCAATTGTTGTTCTTCTCAGTTAAAGCTTCCTTGAACGAATTGGAGATCATGAAATTTTCGAATTTTTATTATTCGAAATGGCAGGGATAATTCATTGGAACAGGTATACTGGGACACCCGGTATATCGATAGGGACGTCATCATCAGGTTCTCTGATGATATTCCTCCATTCTTGATGCTGTTGGTTTGATTCCATTATATACGTGTGCATTTTTTATCCGTTGTACCTGTGAACAAAATGTATAATCTAAACTAATTCCATCAAGCCTTATATTATATATACAGGGTGTTCTAACGAAAACGAAACAGATTGAATCATTTCCATAATGGGAATATGTTTGTTGCGAAAAAACGCTGAAATTCATCAATTCACAAACCTTCTGGTATTCTTATTATATCCTAACTGCCATGTGTCATCCTCCTTGCAGAAGTTATTCAAACTCATTTTCGTTGGGCTGCCCTGTATCAGTATTTGCTGCTCATTCATTCTAAATATAAGGTTGAACTGGACTCTACGAAAACATGGAAAAAATCTCTTTTTGAGAAGATATTTCTCTATAGTAAACTTATTTTCATTGATTCCACAGAAACAAATGATTCGAATATATGACATTTGTGATTCAAATGAATCAATAATTTCAATCAAGAAATATTATTCGCTTCCAAGAAATAACATTTGTTTCTTTGAACATTATAGGGCTTCCCTTTCGTGCGCTCCAAGCGATAAAAAAAAATTGTTTCTTGCAAAGAAATGTAAGTCAAACAAATGAGATCGTTTCACGCAAAGTAGCGTTTTTCTCTGTGTACTTATTTGAAACTCTATTTTTTTCTATTAGAGAACTATTCAAAAGTGAAAGAAATACACTTACTCAACAATTCGAGATATTTTCAATAATTATCGATAGGGCGCGCTAAGTGAAGTTGCTGAGAACATTAAAAAAACTTAGTATACACTGAGAGAAACTGGATATTAAAAATATCTACCAGCTCTGATTGTAATAACCATTATAAGGAAATCTCCTATTCCTGATCATTTTATTATTACAACAGTATTCTCTCCATTCTGTAATTATTAAAATCGATTTCTTAAATCATTTGTAATACCCTTGAATGGACATTTGCTACCATCATAACGCAGGTGTGTTATGACATTATGAGAATTTTATAAATTCCAGTCTATTTAGATTTTTTATTGACATAGCTCGTTTTGTGAATTATGCTCATTGGCGAATTCAGATAATGTTTGTCCCAATAATCATAGCTGTTTGAGTTTCTAGCATTGTACGTTGACGAATAACTCTAGCAATTCACATGTATGACGGTTATTAGGCAATCATTCGACAATCGTAATTCGGCTCATTTCGCTCTAGAGTGTTTCATTAGTATTGAGGCTGGCAAAGATACAGATCGCGTTCATTTCTCTGCTGTTCTCGGTCATGGGTGCCCGTGTTCAATTATTGTTCAATGGTTCCGATCGTCCGAATCGATAGAGCCGTGTCTTGTAGGTGAATGTCTGTGATGTAGCAAAGTTTTGTTTTAGTGCTGGCTGTGAACCGATCTGTGGAATACACCGTGCATTGCATTATTGCAATGAAAAAAGTATTCTCCATACCCACTTTTCAAGGGCTAAAATTGGTTTATTTCAAAAACAAAATGATCGATGAGATTCTGAATCAAAATATCTGGGTTTCTGTGAGGGAAGTTTTATTGACAATGCTCATCATAACTCCGAAGGAAGGGTAAATATGAGTATTCAACTTCTCATTTCTTAATAAATTCGTCAGTTATGCGTATAGATGATATTTCTTCGAAAAAATCAATGGGTAATGTCAAAAAACTTCCACAGATACCCCAATATTTCAATTCAGAGACTGAACGTATTTTTTTGTTTTTTTGAAAACAATAACCTTGGATCATGAAAAGTGATAGTGTGGATAGGATATTTATTTTCATTGCAGTAATTCAAAGCACGGTTTCATAATGCATACCATCGAATAATGTTGATTAGATAACCTTATTACCACTGTTTGATGAATATACTAGAGTAGAAAAATATTGGGATAACTGTTGAAAATGAGCTACATTACAATAGCATGTCAAAATGTCAGGTTTCATGCAGATATCAGATAACTATAATAAAATGAGACGAATTACTGCGTTACCTCAAGATGGTTGTGCCAGTAATAAAAACATGCTGTTTTATGTCGATAGTCTAATAACCACTGTAGAGTGGAGAGTTACTGCAACATTTTATGGGAATAATTCCTATTCGACATTCTGTGTTATCATAGAAACTAGAACAAGCAGTAGTTATTCAGCAGTGGTGTTTTTATACAAGTTTGCAAATTGAATAAGCTGCCATAACTACAAGTCACCTGAAAATTCACTTCATCTATGGTAGCACATGAACACATCTGTCCCCTATTTATTGCAGATATCGTAATAACGATTATCAGATTTCCAATTATGATAACTCAAGTTTTCTCTCAGTGTACCTATATGAGGTAGGTCTCGTCACCGTTGTATTTCATTTTTCTTATATAAAGGATTAATTCTTGCCATAAATAAGCACATTGTGTTCATTATGGGATCCGTGCACATTTGCACATAACACACCATATTAACGACATAAAATTCCTAACATTTGGTATAGATTCTCAATCAAATGTTTATTTATTCTGGCCAAGTGTTCATCCGACTGAAAATACAAAATTCTTTATATTGACGTTATATAATAATATAATCACTGCGAGCTTTACATCATCAGCATAATAGGATCAAGATTACAATGATGACGTTACCATGGTGGAAATTGCATATTTTCATGTAATTCCGGATCGAAAAATCACTCGATTGAGTCTCAGAAATCAGAATCGTGAGTCGTATTCGGAAAGCTGAGATTCGAATTTCCAAATTCCATTCATATGGATAAGGAACCCGAGTTCGAACCAATATACAGTGTGTCCCACTTACCATGCTCACCATGGGTATCTTTTTAACGGTGAGAGATACGAGGTCGGTTAAATGACACCAAATGTGGAGTTTGTAGAGGCGAACTATAATGTGGAAAAATATTTTGATAAAATCTATTCGTTTTTGTTTTATAAGCAAAAAACAGATTTTGATCATTTTCATGTCTCCTCCGTAACTACTATATGTATGTTATCTATTATAGCCGTAGAAAAAGCATAGTTTATAACTTGCACGGAATGCTAATTTCCTACTCGAATGGTTGCAGCATTCGTCTATGGCTCATGCTGCAAAATTCATTCTCGTAGGAAATCACTATCATTCCGTGCTCGTTAAACAATATACTATTTATTATTTGAGCTTGTGAAAATCAGAAAAAATTCATGAACGTACTGAATCGAAAGATTGACCGATGTTCCGAAAATTTGGAAATACTCTTGAAACTCCAACCTCAGCTTCTCAACGATATGGAAGTTGCGTCTTTTTGTAGTCCACCAATCGCTTTTTCGAGTCTAAAAAATTACCCAACTGCGTCTCAGACTGAAAAATTCGAATTTTCACACTTGATAGGTGATATCATAAATAAGAGGAAAACATTTTTTTTTCTAAATTTGGGCTGATAAAAATCTGAGAAAGCTAACAAACCTAATTCGAACCCTAAAAA